TAAGTTTTAAAATAGCATAAAGTGCATAAAGAGTATAAGGGCACTTACATGCATTTCATAAAGTGCTTGATGATTTCATTTATTTATATTGAATTTAATAATAAAATTAGTATTTTCTTTAATTCACTATACTGTCAAACAATAAACAAACAATGAGTTTATAATCCCTATTAGTTTATAATTTAATATTGAAGTACAGATAAATGACCCGACACATTTTGGGTTTTATACAGTATCTCATCACTGTATCCATTGTAGTGCACAAGTTCTTAGAGTACTGCACCTCTGCATCCCATTCCCCCACAACTCTCCCTCCACTCAATACACTTCCTTTTGATCGGGAATTCCTATGACTTGACTTCAATCCAGAAAAACCATTTACTTATCAATTATCAGTAAATCATATCTACAAACAACAAAAGTGTAGAAATTTAGACAAATTCGTGAATTAAACTATTATTTTTTTAATAGTTTATCATTTTGTTTAACAATTTATTTTTAAAATTAAATGCAATATTTTAGATAAATATGTAAATACATTGGAAATATACAGTACATATAAAATGATAACAAATTGACCCATATTCCATAATTTAATGTAAAGGCCATAAAAATCGAGATCTATTTTATTATGTTTGTCGGCAATCAAACATGCATTCAAATATGCCTTTTTTACAAAAGCCTTTATTATCGGCAATTATTTACAACTTTAATATTTTTCGGTCGGATATTGTACTCAAAAATACCAAATCAAACATAAACTATATTTTTATATTAAATTGGTTTAAAAATTTAAGTACAAAAAAAGGAAAATACATTTTTTCAGAGTAGTTGTGATGAATGGTGTAATGAATTCTGTAATCTCTTTCAGTGTATAAGGCGTCTGGAAGTGTAGGGAAATCCCATCCAAAACTTGATGTAATTGTTTAATAAAACACTTCTCAAACTTGATATCTCCGACGACTACTTGATATCGCTATATAAACGCTTAGTTGATATGTCTTTAGATTTAAAGCTATCTATCAATGAAAAGCTATAAATAATAATAATAAGCAAACTTTTTGCTCATAATATTTTGCGTTTAAAAGCTATATTTGAATTGTGATTTGAAGTCTAATTTTTGACTACAATTTTTGTCAACAAATTGCAAAAATGTTAAAATATTTTCTATTGAGTGTATTATTTCTAGCATTGATTCTAATGCTTGTCGTCTCGTATAAGCATTCGTTGGGCGAAGACATTGAAGACATTGTCGACAAAACAGAAGAAGTTATAGTGAATAGTGAGAAAGTATTGACCGATTATTTTACAAAACTTGCAAAACGATGACAACTATAAAACAATTGATTCAATTAAATGCTGTTTTATTTTGTGACACATTATTGTTTAATATTATAATAATGTATTTTTCCATATTTATGTAAATATTTTTCTATTTATATTTGATATTGAATTTTTACTTGTTTAGCTGTTTTTATTATTTATTGTAATATTTAAAAATGCCAAAAATCCATTATGTATTATTAGTACTGATTTAATAGTATTGATTTAATAATACTGTATTTAAATTTTAATTTGCATCTTTTAAAAGTTAACTATTTTATAAATATGATCTCAAAAATGTAATAAAAGTCAAAATGTTGTGAAATTATAACTTAATTTGTTTTATTTTATTAATTTATATATAATTTTTCGATTGAGTTTAAAAGTTGATTGATTTATAAAATTGACAACAATTTGTTAAAGTTATATTGACATTAAATAAATATATAGAGAATTTTAACAATGAAATTTTAAAAATCAAATAGACTTAACAAACAGTCTTTATTTACAACAAAAAAACACATTTTAAACAAAATATTATTTTGAAAATTAAGTACTAATTGAGAATTGAGTTAAACCAAAAAAAAAACTAATGTTATTTAAAATTTTAATGAAACCATCAAATTGTACCAAATTATAACAGTTTGACATTTAATGATATTTTTTGTTTAATAAATCAAATATTTGCAGTACTTTTCCGCTTTGTGTCAAAAACTATATTATTTATAGTTAAACCCATATTATGTCTGCAAAAATGATCGCAGACTTCATTGTCAACAAAAATTATTCAAGAATTTTATTTAATTTGTTTTAAATCCTGGAAATTGTATTGTTTTCTCTCGAATATATTCTAATGTATATTAAATAAAAATATGATATAAAAGCACTGCTCAGACAATATCAGGGATAGTTTTTAGTCACAAAATTTATCCAAAAACTAACAAATATTTTAATAGTTTTGGAAACCTTTGTTAAAAATCTTCAATTATTGGATTTAAACCGTTTTAAAGAAGAGTTGTGCGATAAAACCAAACAAAAAATGGACGAAAATACTGTTAACTATAATCCAAACACAGATCCGGCGGCCAAACAGTTGGAAAACTTCAAGAAAACACAGATTAATCGAAAGGTAATTAACAAAAAAATGATTTGTATTAATGAAAAACTAACATTTTATTGCCAAACAGACGGAACAGATAACCGATTTGTTTGGGGCTCCGATTGGCGACAAGACTAATATGATAACAGTTGGTCCGCGCGGACCCGCACTCCTTCAGGACATCGTATATATGGATGAAGTCGCGCACTTTGATAGGGAGAGACCGCCCGAAAGGGTAGTGCACGCCAAGGGTGCCGGTGCTTTCGGATACTTTGAGGTGCCATTCAGCAAATATAAATTACTAACTAACTTACAATGAGCATAAACACCGTTAATCACATTCAGGTGACTCGACCGGAGATAACCAAGTACTGTAGAGCTGCCCTATTCAACACTGTTGGCAAACGCACACCAGTGGCCGCCCGGTTCTCGACTGTGGCCCGAGAGCGAGGGTCGGCGGACACTGTGCGCGACCCGCGAGGGTTTGCCGTCAAGTTTTACACCGAAGCGGGCAATTGGGATCTCGTGGGCAACAATACGCCCATATTCTTCATACGCGACGCGTTTCAGTTCATGGCATTCATTCACTCCCAGAAACGTAATCCACAGACAAATCTAATTGACTACAACGCGCGCTGGGATTTCTATACCCTTAGACACGAGTGCTTACATCAGCTCACCTTCATGTTTGGCGACAGAGGCATACCCGGTAATTACCCAGATTTTGTAGTTTATTACATATCTGATTGCGTTATCATTATTATAACTAAACTATCGCTTATATACAGACGGACACAGGCATATGGATGGCTGGGGTTCGAGCACTTATAAACTGGTAAACGCTGACAATCAACCGATTTATAATAAGTTTTATTGGAAAACTAATCAAGGTGTTAAGAATCTGTACGCCGACGAAGCCAATAGACTTGTTGGTCAGTGCTTTCGTTTACTCTTTAATGGTCTAAATGTGTAATTAATTGAATCTACTTTTGTTGAATTGAAACATAGCGTCGGACCCGGACTATGGCGTACATGACTTATTTGACGCGATCGCCCGCAAAGACTACCCCTCTTGGACTCTATATATACAAGTGATGACATACGAAGAGGCGGCCAAATGGGAGTTCAATCCCTTTGATATAACCAAGGTTAGTTTGTAATATAAAATTCATTTGTTCAATTCAAAAATCAACATTTAATGTAAATGTTATAATACGGGAAGACATGGCCTGAAGACGAGTACCCCCTCATAGAAGTCGGACGAATGACTTTAGACCGAAATCATACCAATTATTTCGCCGAAATAGAACAGCTCTCGTTCTGTCCGGCGAGTCGAGTACAGGGCGTGGAGTTCAGTCCCGATAAGTTACTTCAGGGCAGACTTTTCGCATATCAGGACACTGCCAGACATCGGTTTGTTATCTCACATATTATATCTATGTTGTGCACAACTAATTTTATCATGTAATGAAACACTGCCAGAATTGGACCAAACTTTCATTTGATTCCCGTGAATCGTCCGATCGCACCGGTCGTACACCCGACCCAACGCGACGGCCCAATGATGGTGGACAGCAATGAGGGCAGTGCTCCCAGCTATTACCCCAACTCCTTTCACAACGCTCGGGACAATCCCAAAAAGTACGATGAGTTCCGATTCACTATAAACACCACTGATGTGGACAGGTATGAGGCCAAGGATGAGGACAATTACACTCAGACCCGACAGTTCTACCTGTCCTTCACTGATGACGAGCGCCAGAGACTGTTCTCCAACATCGCGTCCGAACTGTCGCTCGTCTACACCAGTATTCAGGAGAAGGCGTACGACATGTTCGCCAAAGTCCACACCTCTTATGCCGACGGAGTCAAGAGAGCCGTTCAAACGGCAGCCAATAATTCACTATAAGTTTTGCAATCAAATTTATGTTTGCTTTTAATAATTTTATGTTTATATCCTGGTGTTGGCATTTTATTCTGCAATTATTTATATTTATAACTAATTTAAATTTACTGAATGAGTATTTATTTATCACTAGTTTAGTAATCTACAATATTCATTATTTATACTAATTTTTTACTAATAATTATAATAATTAATTTTAATACTAACATTTTATTTTTATTTTATCTCTCATTTTAACTTCAAAAATTTATTTAAATAAACTTTGAAATGCAAAACAATTTAATAAAATTAATTTAAATAAATTTAAAAATAAAATTAATCAAAAAACCCAAATGAATATACTTTTTAAATCAAGTCTTAATATAAGAATAATTAAATCCTATCAACAATTTAACCTATATTTAAGACATCTAACAAACACATGACATAATAATGCATAATAGCCATCAATTGTAATAGTAATCAAAATTAATGGTTAATATTTGTCAAACATTTAGCAATCAATTCATAAAATGACTATTTTTTGTAAACAATAAAAACTTTTTTCACCGCCTTTTCTATGTTTAGAAAATATTTAAAACAATTTATGCTATAATTGAGAAACTGATTTATAAACGTAACTATAGTTATAGTGAGCATCACAAACAAAACTTAACCACAATATAAAACATATCATAAATAAGGAGTTTAACTGTAAGTCACTATCAATTCAATCTATTATAAGAATATTGTAAAAATGTTTTCATTAAAAGTCACTCTAATATTAATTATAATTTACATTAATTACTGTAAAATCATTCATTCAATTGAATATTTCGATGACTTTGAAATTGAAACTGAATCTAACAGTACTGACGACCGATCGGCCCATACCTGCGGACTCAGTGCCCGTGAGAAGTGTACGGAACCAATCAGGAAGATGTTAT